GCAGGGGGGGGAAAAGGGGGAAATGTGAGGAAAAAACCCCAAAACCGACGGGTTTGACCCCAAAAAAGGGGCTTGGGATCTTCCCTGAACCCTCAGGGATTGGGATCATCCCCCCCCCAAAAAAAACTCGTGAGGTTTGGGCCCAAAAGAGCTGCTGAGAATAAAAGAGGTTTCAGCCCAAAAAAGGGGTTTCTTGGTGGTCCTAAAATCCTGAGGTTTGGCCCCAAAAAGCTTCTTGAAATAATGAGGTTTGACCCCAAAAAGGGGCCTGGGATCTTCCTTAGACCCTCAGGGATTGGGATCATCCCCCCTTAAAAATAAACTCGTGAGGTTTGGGCCCAAAAGAGGTGCTGTGAATAAAAGAGGTTTCAGCCCAAAAAAGGGGTTTCTTGGTGGTCCTAAAATGCCAAGGTTTGGCCCCAAAAAGCTGCTTGGTGTCACTGGGGACAGCTTGGGGACACTTTGGGGACAGGGTGGCCCTGGGGACACCCTGGGGACACTCTGGGGATGGGGTGGCTCTGGGGACACTTTGAGGACACTTTGGGGGACATTTTGGGGGGACTTTGAGAACACTTTGAGGTCATTTTGGGGACACCCTGGGGACACTTTGGGGACAGGGTGGCCCTGATGACACCCTGGGGACACTTTGGGGACATTTTAGGGACACTTTGGGGACATTCTGGGGACAGGGTGGCCCTGATGACCCCTTGGGGACACTTTGGGGACCCTTTGGGGACACCTTGGGGACACTTTGAGGACACCTTTGAGGACACTCTGGGGACATTTTGGGGACACTTTGGGGACATTTTAAGGACACTCTGGGGACACCCTTTGAGGACACCCTGAGGACACTCTGGGGACACTTTGGGGACACTTTGGGGCCATTTTGGGGACCCTTTGGGGACATTTTAGGGACACTTTGAGAACACTTTGAGGACATTTTGGGGACACCCTGAGGACACTGAAGACATTTTGGGGACACTTTGGGGACATTTTGAGGACACCTTGGGGACACTTTGGGGACCCCCTTTGGGGACCCTTTGGGGACCCTTTGGGGCCATTTTGGGGACCCCTTGGGGCCATTTTGGGGACCCTTTGGGGCCATTTTGGGGACACCCTTTGAGGACATTCTGGAGACACTTTGGGGACATTTTGGGGACCCTTTGGGGCCACCTTGGGGACCCTTTGGGGACCCTTTGGGGACACTCTGGGGACCCTTTGGGGCCATTTTGGGGCCATTTTGGGGCGGCTGACCTGTGGAAGTGCTCCGGCAGCAGCTGCGGCCCCACCCCCAGGGCCTCCAACACCTCCCGGCGCAGCCGAAGGAGCCGCTCGGAGTCCTCGGAGCCGCTCCCGGGACACGGATCCCGGCCCTGCTCCGAGCGGAATGTCAGGAGAACTGGGGGAAAAATGGGAAAAATGGGAATTACAGGGGGAATGGGAACGCTGGGATCACCAACACTGCCCCAGGACACGGATCACAGCCCTGCTCCGAGCGGAACCGGAGCAGAACTGGGGGAAAATGGGAAAAATGGGAATTACAGAGGGAAAAATGGGAATTACAGAGGGAAAAATGGGAATTACAGGGGGAATGGGAACGCTGGGATCACCAACACTGCCCCGGGACACGGATCCCGGCCCTGCTCCGAGCGGAATGTCAGCAGGACTGGGAATTACAGAGGGAAAAATGGGAATTACAGAGGGAAAAATGGGAATTACAGAGGGAAAAATGGGAATTACAGGGGGGAAAATGGGAATTACAGGGGGAATGGGAACGCTGGGATCACCAACACTGCCCCGGGACACGGATCACGGCCCTGCTCCGAGCGGAACCTCAGGAGAACTGGGAATTACAGAGGGAAAAATGGGAATTACTGAGGGGAAAATGGGAATTACAGGGGGGAAAATGGGAATTACAGGGGGAATGGGAACGCTGGGATCACCAACACTGCCCCTGGGACACGGATCCCGTGGAATTTCAGGGAAGGTGATGAAACACCCCCAGGACATGGGAAAAGTGGGAATGGAGGGTTTTTTTCCCGGGAATTCACCTCGGAGCAGGAAGTAAACAGACCCTTCCCAAGGGAACATTGAGCTCTTCCCAGGGGCAAACCCGGATTATCCAGGGGAGGAAGAAAATTCCACTCACAGGATTTTAGGGAAGGGGATGAAACACCCTCAGGACGTGGGAAAAGTGGGAAGGGAGGGGGTTTTTCCCGGGAATTCACCTCGGAGCAGGAAGTAGTTGGGCCCTTCCC